GGTTGTTCCTCCCCAGGTGCAGGACCCTGCATTTGCCTTTGTTGAACCTCATCAGGTTCCTCTCTGCCCAACTTTCCAGCCTGTCCAGGTCACGCTGAATGGCAGCACAGCCTTCTGGTGTATCTACCACACCTCCCAGTTTGGTGTCATCAGAAAACGTGCTGAGGGTACATTCTAACTCTTCATCCAGGTCGCTGATGAAGAAGTTAAACAAGACTGGGCCCAGTACTGACCCCTGGGGGACACCGCTAGTTACCAGCCTCCAACTAGACTCAGCGCCGCTGATGACAACCCTCTGAGTTCTGCCATTCAGCCAGTTCTCAATCCACTTCACCGACCACTCATCCAGCCCATACTTCCTGAGCTTCCCTAGGAGGATGTTATGGGAGACTGTGTCGAAAGCCTTGCTGAAGTCGAGGTAGACAACATCCACGGCTCTCCCTTCGTCTACCCAGCCAGTCATGTCATCGTAGAAAGCTATTAGATTGGTCAGGCATGATTTCCCTTTGGTGAATCCATGCTGACAACATAGTCTCATTTTTCACTATACCTGGTCACTTGATAAATTCCAAACTCCATTGATTTTATTATATATTTGTTCTTGTGGTAATAATCTCAGTTGCTTGTTTTGAATCAATGCACTTCTCAGCTTCAGATCACGATACATTTTAGAAGTTTCATAAGCTCTGCAAAAATAAAAAATACACGTTACCATTTCAGTGTTTTCTACTGTCTTTACTGTTTCAGCACCAATATGAAATGTTGTATATTTTCAACTTTTCTTACCACCACGTTGCACAAAAGTAAGAGTAATATTAAAACTTCATCAATGTAAACTGTTATATTTCAGCTTTCCTTGATGAAGTTATCTTTAAATTCAAAAGTTTGTGGTTTTTTTTACATCTGTTTTGATCTCCTGTGTTGTTCATGTGCATACTATTTCTTTCTTTTCCTTAACACATTCATCTCCCAGCCTCTGTTGCAAAGCAAAGGTCTTCCAGGTCCCATGTTACACACAGTACGGACATCAAGAATCTTTTATTTTTCAGTGCTGGTTAAGTCACAAACACCCAATATACATATATCAGTACTCCACAGCTCTTAAATAGAAACCCACGGTAATGTATTATGCACACATTCATTCAGATACCTGGTGGGAAACATCCACTGTTTTGTAGTCAGTTAGAGCTTTGACCAGGATTGAACTCTTCATTTCCACTGCATCATCCAAAATTACAGGAAATTATTACAGACAGAAATTATAGATGTAAAATGCACACTGAAATTAGCTCTTTTGTACTTCTATTTGTTCAGATAGTTCATACAAACAAGGTGTATAAACTGTAATCAATGACCGGTGTTAATACACATTCATTTTCATTATGCATAGTTATCTACTAGAATTTGTCATCATTCTCTCCTTCCCTTCCAGAGATTGTCCTCTCCTCTTCTGGGAAAGTTTTATGAATGTTAAATATGGACAATTATATACTCAGTCCACCAGCAGCAGTAATCCCACATATTTGATTCATTGAATTTCTTTAAATGAACAAACATTATTTTAAGTATGCTACCTGTGTACAGCAATAACTGAAGTGAAGAGTCTGGGACTCCCAGGGACAACATTGGTAAATATGAACTCAAATCGTGTGTTGTTACATTTAGTCAATATATACAAAGCTTCTGTCTGCCCTCGTAATTTCTGTAAGGAAAAAATGAAATTTAACATTTTGACAATACAGTAGCTTGACTGTACAGGCAATAACCTTGATGTATTTTCTAAATTCTTGTACTAAATAGTATAGCTGAAGGTGTAATTCTGATTCTACTGCTCTCTTCAGATGAACTCAGTTTTTTTTTGAGGAACTAGCAATTCCATCAACAGTAGAGCTAACAAAGCCTGCCTGCTCCATATTGCAATATCATTACTGAAACAGTATTTTTGGCTTTGTTACCATGTGGGTGCCCAGTGAACCTACATTATCTCCCTGCTAGTTCTTCGCCGCAAGCCAAACAAATGGCTTCACAGTTGCATGTAATTCAGGCTATGTATTTGAAAACTTTCTTGCACAAAATTAGTGCCTCTCTAGACCTTTGTTAAATTTAGACACAATGAGCCAACAGGTGCTTGACTTACCTAGAGGTGAGAAGAATCACCAAACATTGTGATTACATGAGTTTTACTGCTTTAGGAAACTGACTAAAACCACACTCCTATAGAACTGTAAAACTCTCTCAACTTTTAAAACTAAACCTCCATTACTATTCTATTACTGTTCCTACAATTAAACTTTCAGATTATTGTTGAAATAGTGCAATAGTATAAACAATGAATTACAGCTTCTGTTATTATTTTAAAAAGTACTTTTAGAAACTTACTGAGTTGGCAGTTCTTGTAGTTATATTTATAATGCAGTTGTAACCAACGGCTGAAAGTTAAGGGAGAAAAAAACAAAAAAAAGAACGGTTTTGAAAACAAGAAAAAATAATAGTCAAAACTACAACGTATAATATTGAATTTTGTAGCACAGCTTTGGATACTATTTGTGAGAATTATGCATCATGTTTAACGGTCTGGGCTCTCATCACAGAATCAAAGGTTAGTTTAAGCTGGAAAGGACCCTGGGAGGTTGTCTGGTCCGATGCTCTTCTCGAAGCAGGACCAACTCCACCTGGCTGCTCAGGGTACTGTCCAACTGAGTTTTGAATATTTCCAAAGAAGGAGACTGCACAACCTGTTCCACTGTTTGACTGCCATCACTGTGAATGTTTTTCTCCTAATATCTAATGAGAATTTCCCTTGTTTCAGCATCTGACTGTTGCCTCAAGAAGGTCTGTTTCGTCATGACGTTGCCCTAAAGTTTACCCTTATAAACAAAACTTTCTACATTGATATAATACTTTGTAGAATAAGAGCTAAGGAGATGACAAAGGAAAAAAGCAGCAAAATGGAAACTATAAGTGGAGAAGAAATAAAAAGGAAGGGAAAAAACAGTTACAAATTTCATTTTGCCTCTTCTACAGTAGTGCTCTGATACAAAATAAAACCAGACACAATCTCAGCCATTCTCCCTAAAACAAACAGATGCATTAAAATGGTGCTGGGCTAAATCTGAATGTCAAGGACCATCTTGCTACTGATACCAAAAGTAGCACAGCCACTAGGTTCCAAAAAAAAGAAAAAAAAAAACCAAAAGGAGAGCTAGAATTTGTTTTAGGAAGATTCTGCTTCTCCAAAAGCTCAGATGTGGCAGCAGTTATGTAGATAAAAATATTCAGTCTTTATGGAATTAATACTTACGAAAATACTAGAAAAAGACTATTTCCTAGGTTGTTTATCAGAATTTTTCTATAACTAAAAGAAACAGCAATGATCAAAAATGGCATCCAATAAAATATTATTTTTTTTGTCTATATATTCCCTTCACATAAGACACAATGCATTATCTTGAAAGCTAGAGAGTATTTTAAACTCTAAAAGCCACAGGTTGGACTTCCTCGAGCTTCTATATGGCTGAATTACTCCCTAAGTTTCTTTGGGATCTCCTCTAAAAAGATCTATTCTAAAACTTAAAATACACAAGCAAGCATTTTTTAAATTTTATAAACACATCCAAAAGTAGCAGTGTGTGTGCATGCACTTACGAGTGCATACATGTATAAGAGAGCAAATGCAGAAAAGCAAGCAGGCAGAGGGCGTAAGTTTATATACATTATGAGCAGAATAGAGATTTTCAACATTGAGTGGCTGTTGGGAACTGAGCACTGAAAATAATTTGGGTACAAAGTAAGTGCATCCTGTCCCTGTTTCAGCAAATTAAATTAAATATGAGTAGACCTGCTAGCTACTCATACAGTTAAAATCAGTAGCTTATTTAGAGCTTACAATAGTAAATTTGGAAAGGCAGGTACTTGTGGAGAACAAAAACTGTAGGACAATACAGAATGTGCATAGACAGGTGGCAACAAGAGGTACAAGTAAAGCAAGGTGTGAAGAAACTCAAACTTGTTTTCTTTCTAGAAAAACAAATGAATCCCACATACAGCAAATGAAAAATATACCTGAAGTACTCTTCAACTTCTGTTCTGAGAAATTAACATTGAATATTAATATTTTGCTATGAATTATTATAACATCTTATATATCACAAATAGATTCATTTGTAACAGTTCATTTGAGACTCCACAGAGTAACAGAACTATACTTTACTATTCTGCACTGTAATCAACACTATTGTGAAAGAATAGCATGCCACCACAAAGGAAACACAAAATTTGCAGTTGTTTAACAGGACAGGATACTCACAGAGATTGACTCTGGGCAATGACAATGAGCGCCAAATAATCCGCAAATTCGTCACAAGCAGTCTACCTGGAAATAAGGAGTGGAGATATTTTTAACCTGAATAACTTCCATTAAATTAAATGTTCCATTCTGTGGTACATATTTACCTCTAGTTCTGAAACATCAGAACATTCCTTCCCCTTGATAGGAAAAAGAAGAAAAGCACAGGACACCCCAGCAGAAAAATCACTAAACACTTTTTTTTTTCTTTTTTTGAATGTCAGGAGAAAAAATCCAGCAAGGAAGAAATTAAACAACCTCTAATATATACCAGCATTCGTCAAAACCAAACCAAGAACAGTTACTGATTTCACATCCATCTCCCTGTGGTAAAAATTCAGGGACACAATCAGTGCAGAACTGCTCTGGAGAGGAGAAGGAGAGGGCAGTGAGTTAACGGTCGCAGCTGTCTTCATGAATAACCTCACCCCTTCATGTCACATGCAAATCTCTTCAGTTCTGTGCCCTGTACAGCAGTACATCCAACCCCAGGAAGGGTCATCTCAGCATGCTGGCAGCTTCATGCCCTTGCACACGATATATATATTCGTTACTGATTCAGTTTAAACCAGGTTAGGAAAAACTAAGCATTAAACAGGATTAGAGCAAAATATCACTATAATGTTTATAAATGGATTATTCTTACAAGGCTTTTGATTCTAAACAAATTCGGAGACAAGGTTATCACCTTCCTACAACTTTAACAAGAGGTCCTGAAAATACTCCAAGGGTAGACAGATCTGCGAAATAGGCAGGATCTATTTTCTGCAACAGACCACTGATACCAAGTTCAATGGAACCCAGACAAGGCTTTCATGAACCTACACAGGTTAAATACTAGGAAGTTTACAATTTCCACGAGTACACAGTTACCTCTGTCTCCATTGTTTCCTTTGGTATCTTCAACCGACTCCAAACAGTCTATAAGGACCTCACCAGGTCTCATTTTCATTTGTCTAAAAGAAAAAAAAAAACAAGAAAAATTTTTCTAATGAAAAATAGATTAGATTTATCCTCCAAAAGAAGGCCATTTCTATTTCCCCACTTTGCTTTCCTTTCTCCTTTTTTTGCTTAGTGCATGATATGATGAAAAATCTACACATGCACACATACCCACACATTAACATTATATACCTGAAACTGTCATCACTACATCTGACATATGAAAATATTAATACCTTTATTATTAAATTATAACCATAAATAAATTATGCAGCAATTGTGACCAAGCAAACTATACCCCAAAACAGGGAGAAAGTTTCTGAAAATGGGAGAGAAAAGCAAACCAGTTGTATTCACAGCATTTTTGATTGACAGAGTTTGTTGCCTCTTGCTGTACTTCTGCGTCACAAGGAGTGGAGCTAGGATCAGGAAAGAATAGATGCCAGCAAAGCAAATACCAGATGTATACCAACACGTGAAATGCTCCGCTAAATTTCCCACAAAGGGTGTGGTTTGTTTTCTGGGTTTTTTTTGTTTGTTTGTTTTCTTGATTTAACTGGTCAATTATTAACAATTACATAACAACAGATGCAGTGTGAAATTTTGCTGTATTTTAATTGTACTGTGTAAAGCAGCCAAAACTCTTCAGTGTATTGGCATGACAGAAACAAAATGCCTTATCAGGAGGGGAATTCCATGAGATACTACTGGAGATCAGGATCGACACACTAAGTATGGACTGAAGAATACATCACCAGAACAGCACAAAAAGTTATCAGACAGGAGATAGCAAGAATAGTAACAGTAGCATTAAAGAAAATACAGAAGCAGGCTCTCTCTACATGACAGTTCTACAAGAAAATAAGATGGAACTGCTTAAACATCCAAGATACAATTTCACGTTTCCAAAATTACCGCAGACCACATGCCTGAGGGACAAGGGGCGTTCTCAGCAGGGTCAACTGCGCAGCACGGAGATGGAGCATCACAGTAGCAAAATCATCACCACCCAGCTGCTAATTCGTAGCTCCGTACCACAGAGGCCACGCAGGGTTCCGCCACAGAAACCCGGAGTTCTCCGTCTCGGTGAGCCCGACGGCCCGCGGGAGGGCAGGGCCCGCAGCGACGAGGCAGCACCGCC